AGGTTTTTGCTCCGTCTTCTGTTCAATATATATTATGTTGGGGTGTTTAATGTAACCAGCAAACATAACAATGTGACGCTGATAGTCCCACAATGTCCAATACACTCCGTGTTACGTAACAGTCCACACGGGGACTCTCCCCACCCCCCCATGCTACTGTGGACTCACCCGTGCTACAATGGTCTCTCCCCCGTACTTGAGTGGACTCTCCCGTGTGATACAAAGGGACTCCCTCGTGCTTCAGATGACCCTCCCCCATGCTACAGGGTGGACTCTCTCCCATGCTACAGGGAGGACTCTCCCATGCTACCGTGGACTCCGAAATACAATCATATTTGTAAGGGGGACAAGTCAAAATAAAGCAAATCTTGCATAGGCCTATAGAGAAGGCGGGATAAAAACGGTAGTTCAAAGATGGAAGTTTAAATTTTAACTTCATTTCAACTCGCCAAAGATGGAGGTAGAATTGAAACAGGTTTCGCCCCATAGCCTAGCACGGTTGATATATATATAGTTAGGTTATATATATATATATATATATATATATATATATATATATATAATATATAAAATACACCGAGAATCCTCTTATATTAAATCATTAACATCTGTTCATATATCATAACGCAAATAACGTTCATGGCGCATTGAAACTCAGACAATCAAATATATCCAATTTGAAAAATATACGACGGAAAAACTTAAAAAAAAAACATGAATTTTTGAAAATTGAAAAAATTGAAATAAACTAAAAAAAAAAGAATTATCCGTGACACAGCTCAGCCTGAACCATGCTACAGGTTTAGGTCTTCCTGTAACCGCTTCTCCAATATTCTGTATGTTGGGTCTGTATTAGTTTGGGAAGGGGGCGAGTATGTCAGTAATTATCAGAAGCCACCAGGCAGAGGAGAAGCGGTTGTGCCTTGCCTTCCCTTCCCCCCTCCTCTCCGTCCCCAATATAAAAGTGATGCCATAGATGAAAGGGTCCAATTGCCGGTATTTACCAGGTCTCTAAGTGTACTGGTGCTTGTTAAGTACACACAAGTGCGTAACAAGCAACAGTACACACATGTGCGTAACAAGCAACAGTACACACATGTGCGTAACAAGCAACAGTACACACATGTGCGTAACAAGCAACAGTACACACATGTGCGTAACAAGCAACAGTACACACATGTGCGTAACAAGCAACAGTACACACATGTGCGTAACAAGCAACAGTACACACGTGCGTAAAAAGAAACACTACATACACATGTGTGTAGTGTTGCTTGTTACGCACATGTTTACTGTTGATTTTTACGCATGTGTAGTAGAGCGCGTCAAGACGTGTTCATCCTGCGTTAAGAGACGCGAGACGCACCTCTCAAACAGCTGTAGAACAGTTATGACGGGACTATCACCAGCACAAGACACTAGATGTGATCAAACAGCTTGTGGTGAGACTAGTACAGTAACCCCATACATCTATATATTTATACAGAGACGCAAGTGGCAGACACCTGCAGAAAAACATGGCTTACATACATACATTACATTAAGAAATATAAATGTATTTCTTGTCGGGGACAGGAAGCGTGTGTACTTAAACCTATCAAAGGCCTCTATGTAAGCCGACTACTGACATCCTCCAGGATTCAACCCACAGCAGTTGCCTAATTTGTGGGTTACTGTTGGGTGAACAGGTGCATCACATGCAAGGTAAAATGCCCAACCGTTTATGGGAATGAACCCGGGTAATGTGATTGTGAGCCGAGGATGTAGTCTACTGTGCTACAGGACTAGACTCACAATGTTACTCACAATTTATAGTAGAGTGTAAGAGGCGCGGGTGTGAGGGGGCAGGCTAGGCTAGGCTAGGCTAACCCTAGCGTAGCTAGCCTGCCAAGCCTAGCCTAGCCTGTTCTTACCAAGAGCCTTGGTAAGAACAGAGCTCCTGTTAAGCCTCTACATACAACCACAGGAATGTAGAGGGCGCTATGGTTATATTTTGTTCTGTACAACCCTTTATATATGCACAGAATCCGCACTTGTAACAAATCCAACCGCCCACAATTTTTCTGCTAGCAAAATAATCATATTTGAAAAATTTCAAAACTGTGTTTGGCGCCAAGTTTCTTCAGACTTCAGCTAGTTTATGTTAGATGTGATACATCTTTATGCGAGGAAGACGTCTGTGCCACACGAGGCGACCCACATCCTGCCGTGATAGAGACATGAACACCGGCCAGGTAGCGAGGTGCTGCCGGCGCACATGTGAAGCAGCGGACGGCAGGGAGAGTTGGTACCCGCGTCACGTAACGCTTCCCACTGATTGTTTTGGCCAGTTTTCTGTACTTCAAAAGTATAGCAAACATTTAATTTATATTTTTCGTCATTTCTTTTCGCCCACTATTTGTACTTATTTATTAATTTATATATGTTTGTATTTCAATTATTATTTGAAATAATGAATGGTGAACTAGTGGTCTCAGATTTGTACAATCTAGATGAAGTAAAACTTTGCTATTTGCCAGTGATTGTCTCATTTTGTAGCTGGTTCCTTAGTTGCTGGAACTTGTTACAGTTGAGTAAGTAGTGACTGAGGAAATGTCAGTTTCCGCCAAACACACACCGAAACTACGACGTTGGTACAACGTTCGAACAAGTTTTAACACCACCTAACCAGTTATAACAACCAATATAGCAAGTTGTAACAGCGTTCTAATACGCCATAAACACGTTAAGCCAAGATGTAACAACTTGTTACAAGTTGTAACAAGCGGAAAAAAGAGTTTCGGTTTGTTTCCAGGGTTTGGTCGTCCACAATTTTACCTGTTCTTATTCTAGTGGCTTGTGTGTGTCATCTTTACCCCCTGGTGGTGTCTCTTCTCAAGTTGGGTTGATTGATAAAGATTAAGCAACCCAAAAGTTTTTTGTTGTTTTAGATTCAGCTACTCGGAACAAAAGTTCCAAGTAGCACGGGCTATGGTGAGCCCGTAGTGGACTTACCTGGCAAACGAGCGGGGCTGTAACTGTGCGCACCCAAAAGGTGGCACGGGCATGAATAGCCCATAATGATGTTGGGTGGATTGTAGCGGGTAACATCTCTGTATCTGGCAGCTGATGGGGATGTGTTCAATTAATAATAACTTTTCTTCCCTAAAGCCGAAGGTTCAGTAGTAAGTGTTCATTGTCTGATGGCTTAGGGTTTCTTAAGGTCTGAAGGAGTCAGTGTTCATCATTAATAATAACTTGGGGTCTCGTAGCACAGTTGATTTCGTTCTCGAATCACAATCAGGAATACCCTGTTCAATTCCCGGCCGTGACAAAAATTGTTGGGCACGTATCCTTTCACATAATGATACTATTCTATAAGCAGTAAATAGGTATCTACTTAGGAAACTTAAGGGGTTGTATAAGTAAAAAAAAAATCTATATAAATACACTTCCTGCCCCCGACAAAACAAATTAATTTGATTTACAATATTATTATAATTGTCATATGTATGTTCAAGGAACAGTTACATATCGAGCATTTCGGCTGTGGGCTAGGGCATATTGTGCAGGGGCTGAGGGCTAGGGTATGTTGTGCAGGGGCTGGAGGCTAGGGCATATTGTGCAGGAGCTGTGGGCTAGGGCATATTGTGCAGGGGCTGTGGGCTAAGGCATAGTGTGCAGGAGCTGGGGGCTAGGGCATATTGTGCAGGGGCTGTGGGCTAGGGTATGTTGTGCAGGGGCTGGGGGCTAGGGCATATTGTGCAGGAGCTGGGGGCTAGGGCATATTGTGCAGGGGCTGGGGGCTAGAGTATGTTGTGCAGGGGCTGGGGGCTTCGGGCTTGAGGCGTTATAAAGAACCCATTTTCTTCCTTGGTTCTGGTAGGTCCATCCGGAGCTCCACAATAGGGAACGATGGTCCTTCAGTGTAAAATATTTAATGCCAGATAGTGCTTAAGGTGAAGTCGAGCACCCATTCGCTCTTCATGGTGTTCTAGTCGGTTCGAGTCTTTTAATAACCCTTCCCAATCTTGCAAGCTCCATCTGGCTCCGTTTCTGGAGATTTAAGTTGGTGAGGATGCTGTTAGAGTTTCAGTTCTAGTTACAAGTGTTTCAGGGTTCGTTTCCCGCCATCAACTTGAGCTTCCCGGTCAACAGACGCCACTCAGAGGGTCTTTGAGGCTCTGTTTTATACAGATTCGATGGACTATAATTTATATTTTTTGGAATCAGTGTCGGGGCAGCATCATCAAGGATGAACTAGCGCATGTTGTGTTTGGCGTCTATATTTTTAACTGCGAGAGGTATTTTCGGGCCAGATCAGAGAAGATTTTTTTGTGGATATTTCATGTTCTAATTTAAAAGTTTTGTATGATATTGGACCACCTGGACGGTACAGAACACCTCACCTGTTGATTGACGGTTGAGAGGCAGGACCAAAGAGCCAGAGCTCACCCCCGCAAGCAAAATTAGGTGAGTACTAAGTCCCATCCTGATGGGGTCCTTTAGGGCGGTACAATAGGGCCCATCCTGACGGGGTCCTTCAGGGCGGTATACTTGGTCCCATCCTGACGGGGTCCTTCAGGGCGGTATACTTGGTCCCATCCTGATAGGGTACTTTAGGGCGGTACACTACCCATCAGGATGGGACCAAGTATACCGCCCTAAAGGACCCCGTCAGGATGGGACCAAGTATACCGCCCTGAAGGACCCCGTCAGGATGGGACCAAGTATACCGCCCTGAAGGACCCCGTCAGGATGGGACCAAGTATACCGCCCTGAAGGACCCCGTCAGGATGGGACCAAGTATACCGCCCTGAAGGACCCCGTCAGGATGGGACCAAGTATACCGCCCTGAAGGACCCCGTCAGGATGGGACCAAGTATACCGCCCTGAAGGACCCCGTCAGGATGGGACCAAGTATACCGCCCTGAAGGACCCCGTCAGGATGGGACCAAGTATACCGCCCTGAAGGACCCCGTCAGGATGGGACCAAGTATACCGCCCTGAAGGACCCCGTCAGGATATGAGACCTAGTAAATCACCTCAGGAAAGGACCTAGTGGACGGCCCTCAAGGACCCCACACGCCCCCTCCTAAATGTGAAACATTTCCCTGGGTAAACACAGCAGCTACAGACACTGGAGACGCGGCTACTGCCTCAGGTACTCACCTCGACCAGACCTGCCCACGAACCGAAGGTCGTTGAATTTGGCTATTTGGTTCTTCATGAGTGCGGAGTTGTTACGCAGCTCTGCGCAGAAGTTCTCGTCGTTGCCAGCCCTGACGGTGACGAGCGTGCCGTCGCCCACCTCACCAAGGGCGATCACCTTGAAGGCGACGGGCAGCGTCTTGTTGGAGCGCCAGTGAGGCGGCAAGATGGTGCACACGAAGTTGGGGCTGCCCGTGCGCACCAGCTCCCCAGGGTGTTCCCCCAGCAGCTCCGTCAGCGCCCGCTCTGACCACCAGCAGTCACCCATGTCCTCCCCCAGGTGCATCCTGCTCTTCCCCCGCCCTCACTCGAATTTCCTCCCTGGGGCCTCACTGCTTCCCCCCCGGGCCTTTTGGCCTCACCTGGGGGGCCTCTGAGCACTGTATCTCCCCGGGGCTCCTCTCACAGCCCCTAACTACACTCTCACTGCGCACTACACCCACACACCCATCAGTACACTCCGTCACCGCCTCCCCCGGGGTGGTGGCCCCTGCACGTGCTGCCGCTACACCCGCGTCAGTGCCACTGGCTGAAGAAGCCGCAGCGTTGCACGTGGACAAGCGTGGCGGCGGCGGTCGGGAACCACGGGTGTAGTTGCGTGTGACCGCAGGCAGTGGTTGCAGGTGTGTCAGAGGTGAGGGTGTTGTGGGCGCGTGGAGCCGCCGTGCTGCGGGCGGTGCGTGCGGCTGTGTCCTCAGGGCGCGCGGGTTCACCACTGAGCCTCACCGGCTGCGCTCCTCACTCACGCGCCGCCCACCACACCTGCGCATGCGCACACCACTCCACCAACCTACACGCTCTAGCTCGCTAAGGATAGCACCTATATAACGCGTTCCTCCCACTCCACCACCACCCACCTACAGTACTCACTATCACCTCCTTATCTCTATTGTCACGATAAACACTCTCACTCACACCTCACATGCGCTGCGCAGCTCCCCCATAAAACACTAACCCATAATACTGAGAGGAAACAGGACCACCTAAATTAACTTCTATACTCATTACTGTTTCAATTGTCAAAGTTTTTATCCTACATTTTTAACTGTAAGCAACCCAGGTGTGGAGCCCGACGCGCGCACGGCGTCAAGCCGCTCAACACGCTACCATTTACCTCAGAACATTAATAAGAGTAGGAATAAAAATGTTTCTCCTGAAGAGGGTGGGTGGCGTGACGGGCGTACGCCCCCGCTTCCCAGCCCGAACACTTGGGCGGGTGCCTGTTCCCTCGGCGTACTCGCCTACCTGAGCCTACTGGGCAGATTCCTGAGCCTACTGGGCTCTATCATATGTACATTTGAAGCTGTGTATGGAGTCAGCCTCCACCACATCACTGCCTAATGCATTCCACCTGTTAACTACTCTGACACTGAAAAAGTTCTTTCTAACGTCGCTGTGGCTCATTTGGGTACTCAGTTTCCACCTGTGTCCCCTTGTTCGCGTACCACCCGCGTTAAACAGTTTATCTTTATCTACCCTGTCAATTCCTTTTGAGAATTTTGTAGGTAGTGATCATGTCTTCCCTTACTTCTCTGTCTTCCAGTGTCGTGAGGTGCATTTCACGCAGCCTGTCCTCGTAACTCATGCCTCTAAGTTCTGGGACTAGTCTAGTGGCATACCTCTGAACTTTTTCCAGCTTTGTCTTGTGCTTGACATGATACAGGCTCCATGCTGGGGCCGCATACTCCAAGATTGGTCTTACATATGTGGTATACAAGGTTCTGAATGATTCCTTACACAGGTTCATGAAGGTAGTTCTGATGTTAGCCAGCCTTGCATACGCCGTAGATGTTATTCTTTTGATGTTGGCTTAATTCAGGAGACAGGGTTGGTGTGATATCAACTCCTAGATCATTCTCTCTGTCCATTTCATGAAGGACTTCATCTCCCATTCAGTCTGTCTAGGTCTTCTTGTAGCCTCATACAATCTTACTCCGTCTTAATCCTCCTCATAATTTTTGCATCCTCAGCAAACAATGAGAGGAATGATTTTATACCCTCTGGTAGATCATTTACATATATCAGAAACAGTATAGGTCCAAGGACTGAACCCTGCGGTACCCCACTATTACTTAGGTACTCCCTTATCCAATGTGTGTGTGTGTGTGTGTGTGTGTACTCACCTAGTTGTGTCTGCAGGATCGAGCATTGACTCTTGGATCCCGCCTAAATTATACCTGTGTGTGTGTGTGTGTGTGTGTGTGTGTGTGTGTGTGTGTGTGTGTGTGTGTGTGTGTGTGTGTGTGTGTGTGTGTGTGTGTGTGTGTACATGTCTCTCTCCAGCCCCCCGAAAATTAATTTAAATAGTTCGCGCAGGAAAGTAAATAGTAAAAATTACTGAATTTTCACAGCAGAAAGTAATTTTCTGAGTTCGTGCATTACAGGCGGTTCTTGTGGCCAGTTTTTTTGGCGGAAGGTTGATGTGTGAAACGCGTCGGAGGGAAGTCTCAATTATAACTTAAGTCTTCCTCATTTGAGGTGTTCTCTCGCACCAGGCAGCCCCGCCGGTCCTCCTCCTCCTCCTCACTGTCCTCCCCCACACTATTTCTTCAACTCATCGAGGGTTGAAAAGGCGCGACTTTGTCTCTTTGGTGCCAGGTACAGACACCCACGGTGGTACAGGCACCCACGGTGGTACAGGCACGCAGGTACAGGCGCCCACGGTGGTACAGGCACCCACGGTGGTACAGGCACGCAGGTACAGGCGCCCACGGTGGTACAGGCACCCACGGTGGTACAGGCACGCAGGTACAGGCGCCCACGGTGGTACAGGCACCCACGGTGGTACAGGCACGCAGGTACAGGCGCCCACCCAGGTACACGCACCCACGGTGGTACAGGCACGCAGGTACAGGCGCCCACGGTGGTACAGGCACGCAGGTACAGGCGCCCACGGTGGTACAGGCGCCCACCCAGGTACACGCACCCACGGTGGTACAGGCACGCAGGTACAGGCGCCCACGGTGGTACAGGCACGCAGGTACAGGCGCCCACGGTGGTACAGGCACCCACGGTGGTACAGGCACGCAGGTACAGGCGCCCACGGTGGTACAGGCACGCAGGTACAGGCGCCCACGGTGGTACAGGCACCCACCCAGGTACACGCACCCACGGTGGTACAGGCACCCACGGTGGTACAGGCGCCCACGGTGGTACAGGCACCCACGCTCATCATTTTCTAGTCATCATCATCAATTAACCTTATTATATACTTTTCAAATTCATCAATAGTATCATTCTAACAGCCTTTTCTACAGGCTCTACAGACTCTACAAGCTCTACAGACTCTACAAGCTCTACTGGCTCTACAGACTCTACAAGCTCTACAGACTCTACAAGCTCTACTGGCTCTACAGACTCTACAAGCTCTACAGACTCTACAAGCTCTACTGGCTCTACAGACTCTCAAGCTCTACAGACTCTACAAGCTCTACTGGCTCTACAGACTCTACAAGCTCTACAGACTCTACAAGCTCTACTGGCTCTACAGACTCTACAAGCTCTACAGACTCTACAAGCTCTACTGGCTCTACAGACTCTACAAGCTCTACAGACTCTACAAGCTCTACTGGCTCTACAGACTCTACAAGCTCTACAGACTCTACAAGCTCTACTGGCTCTACAGACTCTACAAGCTCTACTGGCTCTACAGACTCTACAAGCTCTACTGGCTCTACAGACTCTACAAGTTCTACTGGCTCTACAGACTCTACAAGTTCTACTGGCTCTACAAGCTCTACAAGTTCTACTGGCTCTACAGACTCTACAAGTTCTACTGGCTCTACAAGCTCTACAGACTCTACAAGTTCTACTGGCTCTACAGACTCTACAAGTTCTACTGGCTCTACAGACTCTACAAGTTCTACTGGCTCTACAAGCTCTACAGACTCTACAAGTTCTACTGGCTCTACAGACTCTACAAGTTCTACTGGCTCTACAGACTCTACAAGTTCTACTGGCTCTACAAGCTCTACAGACTCTACAAGTTCTACAGGCTCTACAAGCTCTACTGGCTCTACAAGTTCTTTGTTAATATATTATAAACTGCCCTCTTCCACCACACAACCCTCCTCGTTTATTAATTAATATCTAAGTAATTTCCTACACTACACAATCAAATGACAAGACTGTAGTGTATCTATCAGGAAATATGTTACGCTCATCGTGGTTCAGTAGGTAGTGCGTGTGTCTGGGGAGTCCAGTGACGCAGGTGTGATTCCAATGCGTCCCCTCGACTCCCCACGGACGCAATGGAAACATAATATTCTATATTATTCTGATCAATCTCCAGCTATACACTCTCCTCTACACTTTGTATACTAATACTGGTATAATTATGGCATTTGCACAGAAGGATGCAATCAATGATATTTGATCCAGTTCTTTGGCCCAGAACCATTTTTCCACACCTTGTGTCACATTTTCCACACCTTGTGTTATATTTTCCACACCTTGTGTGACATTTTCCACACCTTGTCAAAATTTTCCACACCTTGTGTCACATTTTCCACACTTTGTGTCAAATTATCCACACTTTGTGTCAAATTATCCACACCCATAGTTTTCCCCATGAGAATTAATTATTACATTATACAGATGAGCTGCAGCTTTCCCCAGACGTCAGCTTCCACATTAGTATACTCACCTCAGCCATGGATATATCAACTAGCATACTATCTACCACTCTCTGGCACCATCAAAATCTAATCATCTTCACACTGCTACTACAACTTTCGTCGCTGCCACCCATTACACTTTCAAAGTTTTAGAGTCCTGCTTTTAACTAATCTTTTCACCATTTATCATTCGCACATTTCCGCGTCCCGGCACCCCTGATTTTGTCCTCCATATTTGTATATTTTTTCTCTATCTACTCATTTGCTCTTTGCTTTCTTTTTATTTGCTTAAATATTTATTTACTCGATTTTCAAATTCATATAGCCGGTTTTCTAGTTTTTTCTCCTTCTGCAATTTCCCCTTGCTTGCAAGAGGAAATTGCAGAAAGCCCAATGACCAATACATGAATTGATTGGGAGAGGTTTTCTTCAATAAGAAACTCCAAAATCACTGTAACAGAAACATTATTGAATCTGCTTTAATACAAATTACAAAGCCATATAAAAATGACAAAGCTATATAATAATATTGGTTAAAGAACATTAGAACAAGTTCTTCTTATTTTTTGTGTTCATGAACCAATATTACAAAGACATTGTTTTTCACCTCACATGTACAAGAATGTAACAACTCTTGTATATATCTCAAAAAAAAAAAAAAAAAAAATGTATCCTTCTTGCCAACAACCCTTCCACAGAATTGTAATGTTCATACTTCTGAGGATGTGTTGGTGAACACATAAGTATTAAAAAATCCTTATTAAGACTGTAATAGGTTCTATGTAGAGCAGACATCCTAGATTTGAAGTTTAGCATTTCACAACATAAATATTCTATAAGACACGGTCAATTGTCTAATGCTGTTTGTTTATTTGTCAGAAAGTTCTCGTCAAACTGATTGGGAGATGATAACGAATTGTAAAAACAAATTTACAATTGTAAATAACTTGAAAAAAAAGAATTGTAAATAACGATTTGAAAAAAAACATATTCAATAGAAACATTATTGAATCTGCTTTAACACAGATTACAAAATCATTTAATTTGAGCATTAGTAGTAGTTTGTATAATATAGATCCGTTTTTTATTGATTAAAGGGCGATTTGAGTGGGATCATTGATACACATTTATCTCAATAACACATTAATATCTTCGTATGTCATTAAGG